CCTTCCTCCTCCTCCTCCTCCTCCTCCTCCTCCTCTCCTCTCCTTCCTCCCTTCCTTCCTCCTCCCTTCTTCTCATCCTCTCTCCTTTTCTCCTCTCCTTCCCTACCTCCCCTTCTTCTTCCCCATTCCCAAGTTTCCCCCAGGTGAAGTCCCAGCGCGTGACAGTTGCAGGAAGTAACAGTCAAGGCCAAGTGTCATGTCAGAAAACTTGAGGGGAGGGAAGGGGAAGGGGAAGGAACGGCGAGGAGGGGGGGGGTATGAAGGAAGGGGGGGGAGGAGGGGAGAAGGGAGGGGGGGGAGAAGGAGGGGGTGGAAGAGGAGCGGAGAAGGGGTGGGAGAGGAGCGGAGAAGGGGTGGGAGAGGGAGGGAGAGGGGTGAAAAAGGAAGGGAAGGAAGAGACGGACGGGGGAGAGAGGTGGGAGAGGGCGGGGAGGGGGAAAGGAGGGGAGAAAAGGGTGGAAGAGGAAGGGGAAGGGAAGAGGGGGGGGGGGGAGCTAGTATTTTTTCATGAATCGACCTGCATCTCGGGTTATTCATGTGGGCTGGCTGTCTCGGTCGCTCCGTCGTTGCGTAATCATCGGGGATTTGTTGACGGACGGAGCGACTGACTGGCTGACGGACGGACGCCCTGCGAGTGGACGAGACTTCACTCGGTTTATATGTGTGTGTGTATACATGTGTGTGTGTGTGTGTGTTATGTGTGTTTATGTGTGTATATATATATATTATATATATATATATATATATATATATATATATATATATATATATATATATATGTGTGGTGTGTGTGTGTGTGTATGTATGTATGTATATGTATGTGTATTATGTGTGTGTGTGTATGTATATATATATATTATATATATATATATATATATATATATATATATATATATATATATATATATATATATATGTGTGTGTGGTGCGTTTGATATATGTATGATCCTGACATAAAACATGCTTGTGGATAATCGTTGCCTTGAAACCTTGAGCGTTCGCCCGACCTTTCCCCCGTCACGGCTTGTCAGTGAGCGTGTGCGCGAGGGTGTCTGCGGGCCGAGCTGGTGCGAGGGGCTGCTGCTGGTGGCGTAGTGGCAGCGCGGCGGTGTTGTGGGTGCCGAGTGCCAGCGTGACTCACCCCGTGTGCCCACTCGGCTATTTTGAGGTGTCCTTACCACCGCCGCCGCCGCCGCCGCTGCCTGGCCCGAAGCTTTGCTCTCTCGCTCTCGCTCTTTCTCTCGGGGCGGGAGACGCGAGGGAGAGAGTTGAGTGTGAGAGGGAGAGAGAGATGGAGGGAGGGGGGGTGCAGACTCGTCAACTCTCCAAACCCAGTCACCCGTACGTCAGACAAGCATAAAGACAGACAGACACACACACATACGCTCTCATCTCACTCTCTCTCTCTCTTCCTCTTCTCTCTCTCTTCTCTCTCTCTCTCTCTCTCTCTCTCTCTCTCTCTCTCTCTTTCTCTCTCTCTCTTCTCTCTCTCTCTGCTCTCTCTCTCTCTCTCTCTCTCTCTCTCTCTCTCTCTCTCTCTCTCTCTCTCTCTCTCTCTCTCTCTCTCTCTCTCTCTCTCTCTCTCTCTCTCTCTCTCTCTCTCTCTCTCTCTCTCTCTCTCTCTCTCTCTCTCTCTCTCTCTCTCTCTCTCTCTCTCTCTCCCTCTTCCCCATCTGCATTTATTCCTCCCCGTCTCTCCTTCCCAGGTGAATGTAACTTTTATTTGCCGTGAGGAGTCGAAGGCTCAAGATGCATAAGAAACAGACCTTGTCGAGTGATTCATCAAAACCCTTGTCATCATATCATGATTTTTTTTTCATCATATCATCACGAAACTTTTTTTTTTCCATCATATAAAACTTTTTTTTTTCATCATATCACGAAACTCCCCCCCCCCATCATCATCATAAAACTTTTTTTTTTTTTCATATCATCACGAAACTTTTTTTTCCCATCATATAAAACTTTTTTTCATCATATCGCGAAACTCCCCCCCCCCATCATAACTTTTTTCATCATATCAACGAAACTTTTTTTTTTTTTTCCATCATATAAACTTTTTTTCATCATATCATCACGAAACTTCCCCATCCCCCCATCATCATCATAAAACTTTTTTTTTCATATCACGAAACTTTTTCTCATCGCCGCCTCTGTTGGAGTATCATTTGGGTCTCCTTAGCGCCCTCGTGATGCTCGAAGGTCCGGGCGGTTCAGCTTGTTGCCATGTGCACCTTCATGGTCTTTCATCCGGGGCTTGTGTGTGTACGCGGAGAAACGGTGTAAGAAGTGTTGGCATGAGCAGTCTAATGACTTTGGGCCCGGGAGGTGCAGGGGATCGGGGAGGGGAGGGGGGGAGGGGGGGAGAGGGGAGGGGGGAGGGGAAGGGGGAGAGGGGGGAAGGGGGAAGAGGGAGGGGGGGGAGGGGGAAGGGGGAAGGGGGAGAGGAGAGAGGGGGGGAGGGGAGAGGGGAAGGGGGAAGGGAGAGAGAGGGGGAAGGGGAAGGGGAGAGAGAGGGGGGAGGGGAGAGGGAGGGGGAGGGGGAAGGGAAGGGGGAAGGGGGAGAGAGGGGGAAGGGGGAAGGGAAGAGAGAGGGGAAGGGGAAGGGGAGAGAGAGGGGGAAGGGGAAGGGAGAGAGAGGGTGAGGGAGAGAGAGGGGAAAAGGGAGAGGGAAGAGGAGGTAGAGGAAGGTGAGAAGGGGGGGAGGGGAGAGGGGGAACGGGAGGACGTGTTAGCAATGCGGTGACTCTACGGGCTGCGCTACGAACTTTTCACTTACTGGTCGGTCCGTTCCGCCATGAGGAAGGTCAGCAGCGGGTATATTCTGTGAAAAATTATCCCACAAAGACACTGTCCTCTCTACTGTACTTTAGCAGTATGCCCTTACAAGTATTTGATGAACGGCTTGAGACTGAACAGTGTATATGTTGACTATGCTTATGGGTTTCCGTGAAGAGAGAGCTAGGTGTGTTTCTGTTGTGCATGAAGACAGTATTTTGCAGAGCCAGGATTGAAGGTGCCAGGATTGATTCATGACCGGATTGCCTTTTGCAACCTGAACTAGCAGGGGAAACTTCTAGCTAAAGAATTCCTGCTAAAACAAGGCTCATATATATTTTATGCTACTCAAAGCTCTCCAGGCCTGAGCACTTCCAGTAAAATTGGTGTAAATAATGCAAATGGTATCACAAAAAAGAATTGAGTGACTCTTGCTAGAATTTCATACATTCCCAAAACCTCCTACCAAAAGTTATGTAAAATGGAAATGTAGAAAAAAAATTGCAGTGAAGAAACTCTTATACATTATATTGGTCTCATGTATGCAACCTTCTAGCCTATCCAGAATGAGGTGCACAGATCCATGCAACTACTTCGTACTACCTTATACTTTTATATATGATGTTCTAGAAGATGTGCTCATGTTATATATAAATTCGAAATGTATTGGCTTGATATAGCTCTTAATCAAATATAACGGAACCTTTCTTGGGTAGTTCTCTGTGGTTGGGCAGTTATTTTTTCTCAGCTAATTTATTAAAAGACTTAGCAATACGATATCATAAATTTGTAATATAATGTTTAATGTAATTTTATAAGCTTACAAAGCTAAATTATATGTATATATCTTTTATTAGTTTTTTAATTAGCTAATGTTACTGCTTATTAGTAGTTATTCAGTTTTTGACAAGAGGGATTAACTATTTATATGTTGGATGAAAGGGACAAAAAGAACAATAGGAGGAATGATTGGAAAATTTTGTAGAGATGAGAAGGAGAGATAAAAGGTGAAAGTGGAAGAGGGAAGAAAGATACAAAGACAGTGAAGACTCGGAGGGCCTGAGCGCAAATGAAGAGATAGGAAGGGGAAGAGAAAGGAGAGGAAGGGGGGAGTGGGAATAAGGAAAGTTACACACACATTTGGATACACGTATCATGTATGTGTGTGTGTGTATGTGTGTGTGTGTGTGTGTGTGTGGTGTGTATATATGTATGTATGTATGTATGTGTGTATGTATGTATGTATGTATGTATGCATGCATGCATGTATATTTATGTATGTATGCATGCATGCATGTATATTTATGTATATGTGTATGTATATATGTGTATATACATATGTATATAATATATATATATATATATATATATATATAATATATATATATATATATATATATATATATATATATATATATATATAATATATTTATACATATCTATATATATATATATATATATTATATATTATTATATAATATATATATATATAATATATATATTATATATATATTATATATATATATTATATATATATATATATATATATATATATATATATATATATATATAGAGAGAGAGAGAGAGAGAGAGAGAGAGAGAGAGAGAGAGAGAGAGAGAGAGAGAGAGAGAGAGAGAGAGAGAGAGAGAGAGATAAGCAAGTTAAGGGGATAGACATTCCAAAGTGGTTAGCAAACCTGATTTAGATTTTTCTAAAACCACGGGTGGCTTTTAAAATACCTGGCACTCAACCTCAACTTGTGGAAGGTCATGGAACCCGTAGGTGCTGCATACACACCTGTTGTTTTCTGTCGCTTAGGGAAGGCTGTTGACATTACAGTGTCTCCAGCAGCCAGGATTCGTACACAGTTGTACGAGAATTCACTGCGAGATGTGTTTACTTCGTGGCTTGCCTTCAGTTGCTTCTGTGCATTTGTTAGTCTTCGTGTTTTGTAGCTGTGTTTACTGAATTTTATATTATGTGTAAGAGTTACAGTTTTGATAGGTGGGACCTTTATTTTTCTTGTCATGCCAAAGTTCTGAGGTTGTAGGTATACTTATTTCATGATTAATCGTAAATTATTTTTGTGTATGTAGAGAGAGAGAGAGAGAGAGAGAGAGAGAGAGAGAGAGAGAGAGAGAGAGAGAGAGAGAGAGAGAGAGAGAGAGAGTATTTAAAAAAAAATTAAGTGAAATGATTTTATTTACATATCCATTTTATAACGTAAAGTATTTGTCTTGCAGGTGGTGGTAGTCACAATGGTGAGGGTGGAGGAGGTGGAGGCATAGATGGCGGTGGAGGAGGCAGTGACGGAGCAGATGAGGAAGAGCTCGGTGCTTTCTGGGAGCTCCTGGACGGGGAGATCCGCCCGATCAAGCCCATTCCTTCATACCCTGAGTCGCAGGTCATCTTTGCGGAACACAAAGAGGTCGGTAGCATTGCTGTACACACATTGTGTGCAGTGCACTCTTATGCACTCATACATATGCACATAGACACAAATACACACAAGTACACACACACACACACACACACACACACACACACACACACACACACACACACACCACACACCACACACACACACACACACACACACACAACACACACACCACACACACATACACACACACACAACATACACACACAACACACACACACACACACACACACACACACACACACACACACACACACACACACACACACACACACACAACACACACACACACACACACACACACATACACATTCTGCAATAGGCATCAGAAGATTTTTTCACTTTGAATATTTCCATAATCATCATGTTTTTTTTCTCTCTCTCTCTCTCTGTTCTTTTTTCTTAAAAAAAAAAAAAAAAAAAAAAAAAAAAAAAAAAAAAAATGCTATATCCGACACACATACACATACACACATTCTGCAATAGTCATCAGAAGAATTTTTTTTTCACTTTGATTATTTCCATAATCGTCATGTTTTTTTTTCTCTCTCTATCTTCTGCTCTTTTTTCTTATTTAAAAAAATTGCTAACAGAAAATGTAAACTTTGACAGATGGCACGCAAATATTTAGTCCTGCAGCAAGAAATATTCAACTTGCGGAAGAACAAGATTGCCCTGCAAGAGAAACTGTCACAGGCCGAGAAGCTGGAGCAGCTTGGCAACCAGCGTTACCAAGACAACATAAGAGAACTGGAAAATAAAAGGGTAAGCTTTTTCTTAATTGTTACTTTTCTCAGATTTTCCTCTTTTTTTTTCATTGTAAATATCATTTGTTGGAAGAGGCTTTTGCACTTTTATTAATTTATTAGACTGAGTTTTGTACACATCCTTACATGATTTGCAATGCCAGTGAGTTGTAAAAGAAATTTTAGACTGAAAACTTGGAAATCTTGATGAAAAATTAGCGGTCAATTTTTCAGGACGTCTCTATCTCTATTTTTAGATAGAGCTTTGTGTCTAATTTGACCACAAATTAGCATTGACTCTTACACCCTCTCACATATGTATTCATTATCCTTTCTTTCTCAGGAGAACTTACGGCACACTCACAGTAGACTGAGACAACAGCTGGAGCAGATTCTAGCCAGACAGCAAGAACAGCAACAGCGGGAGCAGCAGCAGCAGGAGGACGGAAGGGGAGGTGGCTTGGGATCAAACCTCTCCCTGACCCCCCTCTGAGGACAGGTGCATGCTCTCCCCCTCTCCAAGCACCAGGGCTGTGATTTGTAAGACAGTCAGGGACTCTTTTATAGTGTGGACAAGCTGTTCTTCCTTAGTTTCTCATGCCACAACCATATCAAGTGAAATGGAAACACAGAAGGAGAATAAGGCAAAGAAGAAGAAAAGAGAAAGTTGATTGGATTAATGTATCGTTATTGGATCAGAGGCTTTATTACTTTTTCAGTTTTAAAGGGTTCAGATGTATAGAAAGGCAAGCTTTTACTTGATGGGTTTTGTATTTTAGAAAAAGTGGAAAAAAAATTGTGGATGGGTGACCATCAGGGCTACAAGTTTCAGCAGCCGTAAAAGTTGGTAATAACTTTCCTTTTCTTCCCCACTTATATGTTTCTTCCTTAACAGGTACTGAGTTGATACTATGGACACTTATTCTAGACTGTAGGTATCAGATAAAACACATTGTCAATTTATTTAGAACCAAATTTTAGTCTTTTAAGTTGTAATTTTGGTCACTTATTTAATGTTCATTTTAGAATCACCTGATATGACTTATTTATTGATGTATAATATTTTGGAATTGTTTTTAGCAATTCTAAAAAGTATGCATTTTTAGGCTAGATTGTTTTTTAATGGCAGAAGATCGCATCACAAGAGATGTTGTGACGCACTCTTGTTCATTTTCGAGTTTGATCCTTCGAATTAAATTTTCTTGCATTAACTCGGTTATGAAAAGAAAATATGGAGGATGTAATTACTTGGCACTGGTGAGGAGAAAAATCTTCATTTTTATCGTATGAATATCTGTAACTTATTTTATTGAGGTTTTATATGAAGCAGGAATATATTCTGTGATAAAGAAGGTAATACAAAAGACATTTTAACAACGATATGTATGGATGTTCTGCATTTTTTATTTTATTATGTGCTATGAGTGAAAAGGAGCTTTTTAAAGACTAGGCAGACTATAATCGAGAATTGTAGGGAATTGGATAGGGATTTTGTGCATTAAATTTGATATTATTATTATTATTTTTACAGTTAT